TGGCGGCTTCCTACCTTGCTCCGCTGCTCCCAGCTCGGTCTCAGCCCCTCGCCCGGTCGGCGCGCCGGGAGGCCTCCTTTCGGGCTGTAGGACCCTGCCGTCCCGCCCCGTGCACCGCAGGGCTGCCTCCTCCGAGGGGTACGATGTGCTGCGAGAAGTGGAGCCACGTGGCCGAAATGTTTCTCTTTATTGAAGACCTGGAGGAGGATTATAAGATCCTTTGCCTCTGCTCCCGGGCATTTGTAGAGTAAGTACAAACTTCGCTCTCCCTTTGCACGATTATTGCCCAGAAATGGAGGTGATGCAGACCAGTTGCAATGGGTCCCTGGAACCAGGGCCCGAGAGAGTATGTGACTCTTGGGCAAGCTGATGTTTTAGAAAAAGGGGAGCCCTGCCTGGTGTGCTCGGTGGTGGAACATGACCCATGAACCGGGTGGTCTCGGTTTCGTTCGGTCAGGTCACATGCCCCGGTTGGGGGCTCGATCGCCAGTAGGGGGCGTGCAGAAGGCAGCCCATTCATCGTGATTGTCATCATTGATGTTTCTCTCCCTCTCCTTTTCTCACTCTGAAGTTAATAAAAACACGAAAAAGAAAAAGAAAAAGGGGGGGGGGGGGAATTCACAGACTTTACAGAGTGGTGGCCTCTGCCATTAAGTGTATGAGTAAATCTGTGTGGGCTGTAATGAAAAAATGTGGTAGTTGATATATGTCAATTTATATTTATAAACTGAGGGGACATTTTATTTATTTTTTTAAAAAATATATTTTATTGATTTTTTACAGAGAGGAAAGGAGAGAGGTAGAGAGTTAGAAACATCAATGAGAAAGAAACATCGATCAGCTACCTCCTGCACACTCCCTATTGGAGATGTGCCCGCAACCAAGGTACATGCCCTTGACCGGAATCGAACCCGGGACCTTTCAGTCCACAGGCCAATGCTCTATCCACTGGGCCAAACCGGTTATGACAATGAGAGGACATTTTAAAACTGGGGGAAAGTGAAATGTAAAATGAAATCCCATTAGTGGATATGACATCACAAGGTAAAGGTTTAAAAATAAGTAACTTATTTTGGATAATATCTTTTTTAAAACCTTAAGATTTATTAAAGCACCAATTCACATAAATATAACTTGTGAGGTAAAAGGTTTAACTACAATTACATCCGTTTTTGAGCTGTCTTCTATTTTGGGAAAATATTTGTTTTGGGTAAAAACTGCTGTACCTAATTGGGGGAGGGGGAAAATGCCTAAAAAATTGGATCCTGGAGATGGTTTTCTTTATATTAGACTAGAGGCCTGGTGCACAAAATTCGTGCACCCGGGAAGTCCCTCAGCCCGGCCTGTGCCCTCTCACATTCCAGGAGCCCTCAGGAGATGTCCAACTGATGGTTTAGGCTCACCCTCCACAAGGAATGGGCCTAAGCTGTCAGTCGGACATCCTTAACACTGCGCAGAGGTGGGAGAGGCTCCCGCCACTGCTGCTGCGCTCGCCAGCCATGAGATGAGCCCGGCTTCTGGCTGAGCGGGGCTCCCCCTGTGGGAGCACACTGACCACCAGGGGGCAGCTCCTGCGTTGAATGCGTCTGCCCCCTGGTGGTCAGAGTGCATCATAGCGACCAGCCATTCTGCCGTTAGGTTGATTTGCATATTAGCTTTTTATTGTATAGGAAGATGTGTGAGTTCATATCTAAAACAGGTATATTTACCATAATCATCTCACAGGCTCACTGCTAGATTCAGCTTGTGGAAGTGAATTTTATGTGAGAGACTTTTAATAGAGTTTAATGTAGTAGAGTTTTAGTTTGACGTTATTCTTACTATTCATCATGTGTTTTTGTGAAGTAATCTGCAAATTCAAAAAGAAATGGAAAACTATGTTAAATTTAATGTGAAAAGTATTTCTGTTTTTGTAGTTATGTGTGCATGTATTCATTCAATGAATGCTTTTTGTGCTCCTTTGTATTAGGTACTAGTAGGCACTGGGGTACAAGACACAGCCCTTCCTTAACACATTTTGACTTTACTTACTGGCCAAGGAGATCAATATTAAGACAACTGTTACATAATCCTCTGGTTAGTTAAAGTTATACATGCTTTGAAGATCACCCTGGGTAACAGCAGCACCTGGGGGATGGTTCAAAGGCGGGGAACCACATAATCATTTTTCAGGCTACAAGTTCTGGGTGACTTGGATAAAGATTGGTGGCAGTGGAAATGGAGAGAAACTGTTGAGATTAAGGAGTTGGAATGGATGTGAGGGAATAAAGGGAAGAAATAGGATGAGAAAGAATAGGTCAAGGGTAACTCCCTTGCTGAAATGATGGCGTGGTAGAAAGTTGCTTGTGCTGTAAAAAGCAGGCTTTGATTATTTATTCTTTAAGTGATGAATTTTGAAATAATTTTAAACTTACAAAAATAATTCAAAGAACTTCCATATTCCCACCACCCAGATTCACCACTCTTCATCACACACACACACCATCTTAGTGTTTTTCTGGACCATTTGAGAACACGCTGCAGATGTGATTATCACTACTAAATACTTCATTGTGTATTTCCCCCAAACAAGTATATCCTACACAACTACTGTAGTCATTGAGACGAAATTGTTTTATCTTGATTTATGTTTCAGTTTGCTAAAATATTTAAATAAGTACTTCATTTTATGTTAGTCTCCAAAACAACCTTTGCTCGGACCATGAATATCTTGTCTACTATACAATGACTATTTTGGCCTATTTGCAGATGGACTGTGGTGTGCATGTAGATTTTATATATGTGTCAGATAAATCTTTCCATATTTATGCTTCCCTTTTACAGCAAATTTAGAGACCATTTCATTGTTTGTGCATCGTAAGGAGGATTGGGTTCTTCCCCCAATATCCCGAATACCACTTATTTTTAATAATTAGTTATGCCCTGGCCGGTGGGCTAAGTGGTTAGAGCATCGGCCCACACTCCACAGGGCCTTGGGTTTGATTCCCAGTCAAAGGCACATACCTGGGTTTCATGTTTGGTCCTTGGTCCTGTGGGAGGCAACTAATCAATGTGCCTCTCTCACCTGGTTATCTCTTTTTTTCTCATCCTCTTCGCACCCTCTCTCCCTCCCTTCCACTCTCTCTAAAAATCAATGGAAAAAATATCTTCAGGTGAGGATTAACAAAAATAGTATTTAGTAGTTATAAATGCTTACCACAATACTAAATGTTTTACAGATACTGCCAATCCTTATAACAACCCCATGAGTTAGGCATTATTATTTCTGTATTACAAATTAGGAAAATATATTAGCATATTATTTTTCTATCTTTAACCTTTGTATTAATTAACCTATGTTGCTTTGAATTTATTTCTTCTCTAAGTTTATAATTTAATTTTTTTCAATACTGACTTTAATTTGCTTCACAGAGATCGAAAATTATGCAATTTGGGATTAAAAGGCTACTATGTTAAAGGCAACGACAACAGTGCAGGTAATAATACAGTATAAACTATATAATCCTTTTTTGCTAAAATTAACCATAACACTATATTCATTATAATTCGTTATAAATACTGTATTAACTTCTTAGCATAACATATCGTGTGGCAAAAATATTCTGTAATCATAGTCATTTTTCTTTTAAAGCATGGTTCTAGAATCCCTATCAAAGCAGAAATTTTCTGTTCTTATAGCAAACTCCTATATGGAGTTGAGGTAGCCTCTTTTGCTCCATGTAGCATTCCTTCCTGAGTTGTTGCCATTAGATTAAAGCAACTTGAAATTTGAGGCTTTGAAAAGTAGAGAACATTAGTTTCTAATGCAGAATTTTATTGTTTTAAAACAGTGATGGTGAACCTATGACACACGTGTCAGAGGTGACACGCGAACTCATTTTTTTGGTTGATTTTTCTTTGTTAAATGGCATTTAAATATATAAAATAAATGTCAAAAATATAAGTCTTTGTTTTACTATGGTTGCAAATATCAAAAAATTTCTATATGTGACACAGCACCAGAATTAAGTTAGGGTTTTTCAAAATGCTGACACGCCGAGCTCAAAAGGTTCGCCATCACTGTTTTAAAAGCTAAACTGAGGCATATCAAAAATTTTCCAGATTTTATTTGAGCGTACGTTCATTCAAATTGAGCACCACCTAACCAAAGGTAGTTAGGAGCATTCTGAAGATGAAGTAGAAGCGTATTTACAGAGGAGATGCAGAAACAAAACAATCCAGTTGTGATTGAAGTACCCGTGAGAGGCCTGAACACATAATCTCTCACCTCTCTTATTAGCAGCTCCTAAAATAACTTAACAAATCCTCCTTTTAAATCCACTGATCTAGTGCAGTAATACTGCAGAGAAGGAATATCAAAATGTAAAAATTTGCCTCATGGTTACTCTACTGTGTTCCTTCTTATAGCCTCAGTGCTTTGCACAATGCCCAGCACCAAGGAGATACTCAAGAAATATAAGTTGCAATAATGTTTCTGACTCTCTATCTCCCTTCCTCTCTGTAAAATCAATAAAATATATTTTTAAAAAAAGAAGTATAAGTTGAATGGGCAGCTAGATGGATAATGGTAGGCAGAGCCAGACTAGAAATTGTCTCTTTATTCTTAGTTGGCCGTTTTTTGCTAGTCCATATTGCCATCAATTCCCTTTTTCCCCCCTTAAAAATTGTAACAATTACACACCTTTGGGCAAGGCATGTAATAACTCTGGGTCTCAGGTTTTCTTCATTAAAATGAGGATCAAACCTGCATCTAAATTTTTTCTAACGTTAACAAATGCTATCTATAGGAGACCAAGCTACAGAAGAGGAGGAAAGTTGTAATTTCCATGGCAATAAAGAATCATGTGATAGCAAAGGCATAGACCTAGATGAAAGTGAACTTGATTCTGAGACTGAACTCATGAAA